TTTCCCAGAGAACATCAAGAATACTAATCGCGTCCTGTTTTAGTCGTAACGTATAGGGGCCCTATATACATATATATCTCTCTATTATAATTCTATATATATATATATATATCAGGAGTTAATAAAGACAAATTATGTCTTTATTAACTCCTGATATATATATATATACTATTTTGTACTTGAATAATATGCGTTACCACGGCGACTTTGGCGAGTGTAGTCTCACTTTTGCACGAAAACGAAATTTTGCACACGCACGAACACAACACCACACGCACGCACGCACGCACGCACGCACGCCACGCACGCACGCACGCCACGCACCCTCCCTGCCTGCCTGCCTGCCTGCCTGTCTGCTTGCCTACTTGCCTCCCCGCCTGCGTTTCTGCCTGTCTGCTTGCCTACTTGCCTCACATGCCTCCCTGCCCTAGTCCAACGAGCCGCCTGCGTTTCTTCGTGCCTCCGGTTTGATACATGCCCACTGCGCTTGCTCACTCTCGTGTCGGCTTGCTGTCCCGCAGGTTCTCGTTCTTCAGTAGTTCTACCAGCAGCCTGCGTGCGGCGCCCGCTGCTGACGGCGCCAACATGAAGGTGCGCAAAACCTCGACGTCAACCAAGTTCGTCAACGGAAAGAAAGTCGTTGTAAAGAAGTAAGTGCGATAGCTATATGTAGCGCCCGTTGTTATTCGTCGTGAAGACGTAAATTCGTAACAGCTGCGTGGAATCTGTTGTTTTCCGATTGCTAGCGACTAGGTTAGCTATAGCTGTTACTAGTGGCTAGTCATGAATAGTAGTAGTATAGTTGTAGAAGTAATAATATCGTACTATAAGCAGTATAGTGAGAGAGCAAGAGTGAGCGAGAGAGAGGGGGGAGGAAGGGGGGGGGTGAAAGAGAGGGATGGAGAGAAATTGTGTGACAAAGAACGAGGGAAGACAGTGATAGAGTTAGTGAGAAAAGGGAGATACATAGGATCATGGGCATACATCAGAGGCATGCCGAGACGTAGACAGATCATGCAACCGAGAGAAAGAACCCGTCTTTTGAGTAATTACTAATCGAATCCGACTCTTTTTTTTCAGAATCACCGAGAATGGGTCAGAGACGGTCACCACGTTCGAGGACGGCGTACTGAAGGCAAAATCCATAAACGGCGTGCAACAGGCTATAACCAGCGCATAGGTGCACCGAGCGAGTAATATAAATGTTAATAGCTAATGCAGAAATCATCAAATTCGACCCATGACATGTCAAAGCGTTTTTTTAAATCGCTGCTTTTATCCGTCAGTATGTCCTGAGACGAGATCCTGTCCTGAAACAATTATTCAATACTTCGTAATAAATTCATTGATGATAAATTTACCTCAGTTTAATGGCAAACCTCACCACCAGGTGGCGCCAGTATTTTTACGGAAGGGTCTACTATGGGGCGAGAAAATTAAGGGTACGGGAAAAATAGAGAAAAGTACGGGATAATAAGTGAAAGTTACCCTCGGATTCGACGATTTCTGCCAACTCGGTCCAGTTAGCACTAATTGCAATTGTAAGAATCTTTTTGTGTGTGTTTGATGACGTATACTTGTGAAGCTATGCTCAATGTGAATGAAATCAGGAGTAACTGCTGCACATTGCATGCCTGGTAACCAGGCCGAAATTTGTAAATACGCTTTTTCAGATTTTCTTTATTAAATTATTAAATTCGCGCGCTTCTAGATTCTCGCCCGACTGCAGTCGGTAGTTCCCGGCGAGATATCTTTCAGCCGTGTTTAAACCTTGGTGGCATTTCGTATATATAGGTTGTGTGTTTGTGAGATCATTTCCCGTTTTTCCCCTTCACGGGGGTCTGCGTGCGTAATGCCTTGCTTGCACCGTTTCTATGACTAGAGGCATTGTAATGTAGCGCCGTCATGTATACGAATTCATTTTATGAAGAACTGTCCATAGCAACCTTTTCGTTTGTATATCTAGACACTTTGCCGTCATTTACTGCCTTTTCCGTATGAATACTTGAATGGTGACTGGTGTTCACTGCAGCTGTCGCTAGCAGTAGGCAACAGTGCTTATGCAGAGCGTCGTTATGTAAATTTTGTTAGTTTTTGCAAAGTGGCTTGTGTTATTAGTCAGAGTGTTTGAAGTCTGTGGATGTACGCGTGTGTGCGTGAGTGTATGTTTGTGTTCGTGTGCACATGCTCCCGATGCAACCCTTCTGCAGGACTATGGTACTCCTCTAACCTACCGTTAATTATAGTAGGTACGTACTAGTATGAATGATAACGCGTGCAGAATGGTGGCCATATCTATTGGTTAATGTGTTTTCTGGCCTAAAGGTGGCGCTGTGACACCTACTTTATTCACTTTCCCAACTATGTGGGGCGGTCGCCAAAATCGACCTTCGTGATTGATTAAGGTTCTGCCGATCGAAACAAAACGTCAATAGTAGATTACGCTGTCCATTGGTGTTGTAACGCGTTATATAATAACTTATAGACGGCATTCATTTGAACCGATTAGAGTTATGGCCGAAAGACATGCGATATGGCTGATGACTGCTTTCGTGATCGGTGTTGTTGTGACGATAGCTTTTTGTGCGTTGCACTTGCTTGGCCGTTTTGTACTGCACTAGTGCTCATCGTGAGAATCTACTCGCGCGGTATATTAAGCTCGGTGTTGTAGCAGCAGTGTTGTGCACGGCAGTTGCCGCATGAGCAGCTCAATGTTGTGTCGGTTTTTAATGGGTGATACTCCATTAGGAGTGTTCCCAACTTTAATGTCATTAATGGTCATAATAACATATATATATATGGTCATGGTCATATATTAGTTTGTGGTTTAATGACATTTAGGTTAGGGTTAGCGTTAGGGTTAGGATTATCAATCATTAATCATTAATCATTAATCATTAATGATATCAAAGTTGGGAACACTCCTAATGGAGCGTTAGCCTTTTTAATGCACAGCATTTCGATTCGTGTAATTTGCGCAATGTCCCCGATGTGTCCGTGCGACCACGGCGCAACTCCAAGTTCTAGTGGTCCTAAAATGTCGAGTTCTAGCTGTCCGAAAGCGTACGGTTACCGTCCGGATTTTCGCCGTTCGCCGCCGATCGTCTACTTGGCACTTAAATGCGTCACTTGCGTCTTACCTCGTAGTGTTCGTTATAGCGTCTCTGCCGTTCAGCGACCGTCGCCATCTTGCCGATAAAAGCGTGATGGTCGAGTGGCTGGCGGAGATCGTTGGTGACTCCGCGGTGCAAGCCGGACCGTTCCGTACCGTTCACTTCAGTAAGATTGTGTTACATGAGAATGTTTATTTTGATTAAATATTTATGGTCATATACGGAAGTCGTCAAGCCTCTTCGTCGCGTTTGTATATTTGCGGATTCGATCATACTGCAAAACATTCGAACGCGTAGCAGGAACAAAATTTCGCTGAGGTAGCGCTCAGTTATTGTGCACAGTGCATAACAGCACAATGGAAGTTAACCTAATTAATTAAGCTTCAGATAATTAATCTTCTTCTAACTGCCAAACGACACGTGACAGGTGGACAGCTTCACAATCGACAGGTGACAGTGCCACTGTGAATGAAATTTAACGTGATTTTGAGTTAACCAATGAACTAACACTAAGTCAATGTAAAAATATTTTGTCATTGTAAATTGTGAGCAAGTACAATATCGACTGGTGTTTACGTGAGATACTATATTGGCTAAATTTAATGTTTCTTGTTTAATTTATTTATTGATTACCGGCTATATATCTATATATCTATATCTATATCTATAACTACATAATTATTATAATTCTCTAGCTCTCTCTCTCTCTCTCTCTCTCTCTCTCTCTCTCTCTCTCTCTCTCTAGAGAGAGAGATAGAGATAGAGATTGAGAGACAAAGAGAGAGAGAGAAAGATAGAGAGATAGAGCGATAAAGTGAGAGAGAGAGAGCGCGCGAGAGAAAGCGAGAGACAGCGAGAGAAAGAGATGGATGCGCGAAGAAATGCAAGGCAACCAGGTATAGAAAGAGAAGCAAACTGACAGAGAGACAATGAAAGAAAATCCGAGAAAGAGAGGAAATAGAAAGAAAGAATATATAGAATAGATTCGAGAGAAAAATATGGCGAAGAGAGACGTTGTGTATGGGAAACTAGAAATATATATAAAGAGGGAGAAACGCAAGAGTAAAAATAGAAATATAAGAGACACGCGAGGAGATATCTATAGAAGGAGGAAAGCCTGTATTGAGAAACAAAGAGGGATATTGGTAAATGAACGCTGTGTTTGGCCATGTAATTAAAATACGTCGTATATTTTCTGGAAAGAAGCAGCCACCTAAAATCTTGCAAGACATCCAACTTGATTGATGACACGTGGTGCCACCTGGATGTAGAAATGAACTAATCTCGGTTTAATATGTATTTATATGTAGTAGTAGCCGACTTGCGTAGAAGTATGGTATGCCTGCATTATTTCCTGTAAACGTGCGTCGCATCTTATCCGTACTACTACGTTCTTCTTCTACCTTATTTATTTTACACCACACACACACACACCACACACACGCACACACACGCACGCACGCACGCACGCACACACACACACACACACACGTACACACACACACACACACACACACACACACACACACACACACACACACACACACACACGCACGTACGCACGCACGCACGCGCGCACACACTCACGTCGTCTGACTGTATCAGCCTTCCACTCTCATACCTCACTGTCTGACTAGCCGTGAGGAAACCTGCCTCCTTCAGCCTCACTCTTACCATCACTCTCACCGTCACTATCGCCATTATCATTACCTCCCAACTCCCCTCTCCCCATCTCCTTCCCCCTCGCCATATCTCCCCACTCACCATACCTCCCCTCACACCATTACCACTTACCTCACTCCTCTCATCCACATTTACTATCATTAACCCCCAACTGCGTGCCAGCTAGCCTATATGCTTGGTTTTCATAGCCCTTCAATATCGCTGACACCTTCTGCCACCTTTTGACATGTGGTGCGGTGGTCTTGGGGGCTCATATACGTGTTTCACCATTTCATCGTGTCATCATGTATTCGTGTCATAGTTTCATCGTAGCTTTATATTTTCGTGTCATCGTGTCATCGTGTCCTGTTATCATTGTGTCATCGTTTCATCGTGTCCGCAGATATTAGTTTCGTTTCATCGTGTTCTTCTATCATCGTGTCGTCACTTTATCGTGTCCTCATATCTTGATATCAGCTTCCGCGCCTTTACATGAAATACGTAGCTTATTCGGTTAGCGACGCTGGGTCTTTGGAGTTATTGGGAGTTCGGGAGTAATTGCCACCTCGTCGTCTTTTCGCTGAATGCTAAGGAATCTGATAACTTCCGATGGAGCATGCGATGGGCTTTGAACGCGTAAGGGGGGGGGGGGTCAAAACATGGCGTATGATAGCAGAGTACGTAGTGGCTTTCTGGTTGATTAATAACTGGAGTCGTTGACAGCCAAAACACCGCGCGATGGATATAAGGGGGTTGGATTGCTGTCCGTGCGTCGGCAAACTCTCTATCACGTCCATGGAAAGCTGCTGGCTGGAAGTCGCCCACGCTTAGTTAGGTAGACTCACTCTCGCCAGGGGTCGTTTATTCACGTTCATTATTCGTCATTCACTGCACAAGATTATGGTCGTTACTATTGCAGGTCGTTGGTGATAGCAGGGGTGAATAATAACAAATTGTCATTCTTCACCCCTGGTGATAGTGAACCATACCTTTCGGCGTTTTCCCGCTACTGTTTGCTTGTTTCGTATTTGTGTCGTCTCTTTTCGTCTGTCGTCTGTCGTCGTCGCTTTTACTGTTTGTGTCGTCTGTTACATCAATTTTTATCTACGTGAACTATTCACACACATTCAATGGGTTCTGCGCTATTATACTGTGGCTATGGTCCTAGTTGGTATCCGACTTCATTTAAATGGGTTCATGGGGGCACTGTATCGATGTTATCTCGATACGGCTTTCGTTTAGCTTTCCTTTGTCTTACTGTGGAAAGCGTTCCTAAAATACGACTGTATTGATTTCGTGTCATATCCAAAGCTCTCGATCCTCTTTACGTCATGGGGACGATACCTATATTTATATATATATATATATATATATATTCAAGATTATTCTTGATATATTATATATTATAGGTTTTATTAGCTCTTGATATAATGATATTACCATATGGCTAATCATACCAGTAAGGACCCCGGTGAGATTTATGCTATTTGCGTAGTTATCTTATCTCTGTTTGCTGACGTGCGAATCGAGCGCAATTAGAATGTTCTCGCGTCAATATTTTCGGCAACAGCGGCGAGTGCCGCGTCGCTCATCAGAAGCTTGGACTCTATGGCTTCCGTTACGCCTTCCGCTACGTGCTAGTCTGCAATTCCCCCCGCTACGTGTTTATCCCTATATTCGATGAAAGTAATTGGTATTGTAGCTCCGTGACCACCTCTACCCACCTATCTATTGCTATCGTTAACCCTATAGAGCTGTAACACATGACGACTGCTAGCTATATAGAGCTGTAAACATGATGACTGCTAGCTATATAGAGCTGTAACGCGTGATGACTGCTAGCTATATAGAGCTGTAACACATGATGACTGCTAGCTATATAGAGCTGTAACACAATGTCTATTTCCATTGTTATTTCTGTTTGGGCGTCCTCTCCCTTTTCCTCCCTCCCTCTTCCTCCCTCTCTCTCCCCCATTTCTCTATTTCCTAAACCGTATCTACCATTCTCGGGCACACTAACTCTCTCTCTCTCTCTGTCTCTCTCACGCTCACCCTCGCACAGAAACACATGCAGGTATATCGACTGCAGCTATATATCAGTACAAACTCTATAATCACACTAACCAGTAAGTCTGTAACCGCCGCATAACCTCGCATTTGCTGAATCGTTATAGTGCAGAAAGGCAGGCAGTGCTCCTCCTCCTCCCTCTCCCCCTCCGCATCCCATGACGTCACTTATTAACACTAAATCAATTACTTCTGTCTGTGCGTCTTCTTCTGCGTCCTAGGGGTGAAGTATCTCGCCTATAACATCGTCGTTACTTTGTGCTGTAGGGCTTTGCTATGACCGCTATCGCGTCGCGCGCGTTGTGTATGCGTATGATGCGGTCTTTGATGCGTGGATATTTCATAGTTGAACTAGACAGAGGGCACTCACGGAGAGTGCATACCTCCGCGAGCGTGTAACATGTATACATGTGTATAACAGCTGGCTCGCTGCTGGCTGCTGCTGACTGGACGCCTTAAGGCGAGCTGCTGCTGACTGGACGCCCTAAGGCGAGCTGCTGCTGACTGGACGCCCTAAGGCGAGCTGGTGCTGAATCGATCGCGCCAACGCTACACACACACACGAACACACACACGAACACACACACGAGACTGATTACATGACCTCCGTTGCGCGGAGGTAATGACAACAGTCGCGTGATGCTCAGCGAGATGACATGGCGCGTAATGAGACTGCCAAGTCTCATTTTCGAATGGCGATCGGCGATGGATGCGCACACACTCACGCGCACAAACACATATACACGCATCCGCTCACGCACACATGCACGCACGCACGCACGTACACACGCACGCACGCACACACTCACGCGCACAAACACATATACACGCATCCGCTCACGCACACATGCACGCACGCACGTACACACGCACGCACGCGCGCACACACTCACGTCGTCTGACTGTATCAGCCTTCCACTCTCATACCTCACTGTCTGACTAGCCGTGAGGAAACCTGCCTCCTTCAGCCTCACTCTTACCATCACTCTCACCGTCACTATCGCCATTATCATTACCTCCCAACTCCCCTCTCCCCATCTCCTTCCCCCTCGCCATATCTCCCCACTCACCATACCTCCCCTCACACCATTACCACTTACCTCACTCCTCTCATCCACATTTACTATCATTAACCCCCAACTGCGTGCCAGCTAGCCTATATGCTTGGTTTTCATAGCCCTTCAATATCGCTGACACCTTCTGCCACCTTTTGACATGTGGTGCGGTGGTCTTGGGGGCTCATATACGTGTTTCACCATTTCATCGTGTCATCATGTATTCGTGTCATAGTTTCATCGTAGCTTTATATTTTCGTGTCATCGTGTCATCGTGTCCTGTTATCATTGTGTCATCGTTTTATCGTGTCCGCAGATATTAGTTTCGTTTCATCGTGTTCTTCTATCATCGTGTCGTCACTTTATCGTGTCCTCATATCTTGATATCAGCTTCCGCGCCTTTACATGAAATACGTAGCTACGTCGGTTAGCGACGCTGGGTCTTTGGAGTTATTGGGAGTTCAGGAGTAATTGCCACCTCGTCGTCTTTTCGCTGAATGCTAAGGAATCTGATAACTTCCGATGGAGCATGCGATGGGCTTTGAACGCGTAAGGGGGGGGGGGGTCAAAACATGGCGTATGATAGCAGAGTACGTAGTGGCTTTCTGGTTGATTAATAACTGGAGTCGTTGACAGCCAAAACACCGCGCGATGGATATAAGGGGGTTGGATTGCTGTCCGTGCGTCGGCAAACTCTCTATCACGTCCATGGAAAGCTGCTGGCTGGAAGTCGCCCACGCTTAGTTAGGTAGACTCACTCTCGCCAGGGGTCGTTTATTCACGTTCATTATTCGTCATTCACTGCACAAGATTATGGTCGTTACTATTGCAGGTCGTTGGTGATAGCAGGGGTGAATAATAACAAATTGTCATTCTTCACCCCTGGTGATAGTGAACCATACCTTTCGGCGTTTTCCCGCTACTGTTTGCTTGTTTCGTATTTGTGTCGTCTCTTTTCGTCTGTCGTCTGTCGTCGTCGCTTTTACTGTTTGTGTCGTCTGTTACATCAATTTTTATCTACGTGAACTATTCACACACATTCAATGGGTTCTGCGCTATTATACTGTGGCTATGGTCCTAGTTGGTATCCGACTTCATTTAAATGGGTTCATGGGGGCACTGTATCGATGTTATCTCGATACGGCTTTCGTTTAGCTTTCCTTTGTCTTACTGTGGAAAGCGTTCCTAAAATACGACTGTATTGATTTCGTGTCATATCCAAAGCTCTCGATCCTCTTTACGTCATGGGGACGATACCTATATTTATATATATATATATATATATATATATTCAAGATTATTCTTGATATATTATATATTATAGGTTTTATTAGCTCTTGATATAATGATATTACCATATGACTCCCCCTATCTCTCTCTGTCTTTGTCCGTGCTCATCATATTGTCTCTTTCTCGCTGTGTCTTTTTTTCTCTCTGCTTGTTTGTTTCTCCCTGTGTTCTTCTCCGTGTGTGTATGTGGGTGTATTTTGTGTGTGTTACGCTCATTAGAAATGATATGCTGATCATAATGGCAACATAAACGTTGCTTCATTCTTTTGATTCTTGCAAGATGCCATTGATATGGCGTGGTATTCTCCGGTCTGGATGATATGTGTGTGCGTGCGTGCGTGCGTGCGTGCGTGCGTGCGTGCGTGTTGCGTGCGTGTGTGCGTGTTGCGTGCGTGTGTGCGTGTTGCGTGCGTGCGTGCGCGTGGCGTGTGTGTATGTGTGCGTGCGTGTCTGTGTGTCTGTGTGTGGTTGTCTGTCTGACTGTCTGTCTCTCTATCTCTGTATCTTCACTAAAATTGCAGCGCATTACAAATTTATTGCGTGAAATTACCCTAATGTTGCTGCCGAAGTCCTAGCGATACAAATAACGAATTTAGAACCCAAATATTATTTGTTCATAACTCGTTTATTTTGTGCAAATACTTTAAATTCGACGCTAAACTGTACATTTATAAACAAAAGTCATATCATTATTTACAAAATGCGTGAAACCACACGGCGGGTTCTGTACACGAAGCAACTACTACGTCATGATAACAACTAAATAACAAATCAGTAAAACACTGTAACGAAAACCTGATAACATACCAAGTTTCACTATGAAATACTATATGATCGACATTCCAAACCATGCAAACTCATATATGAACACACTAACACAGATAAGGACCGCGTGCTATTGTTATCACGCGGCGCAGCGAGTTGATGCATTATCCAGGAACGTGTGCACGTAATATTCTGAAAACACCCAAATTCTATGCAACAACGATGGCAGTCTTGTGCAAAAAAACTGAGAACAACTTAAATACCAGTTTTCCTACTAGACTACCTCTTACCCCCCCCCCTCCAAGCCACTCTTATGTCACCCTTTCCACATTAGCATTCCTCCCAGTCCCCACTATTTTATTTACAGAAAATTGAATCGTGGAACATGGCTGCCCACGCCCAATGGCTGGTAAGTCTACGGCGGGTTACTACGGGGGAAAACGAGCCTTTACTGGGTTTTGTAACGATTGATGCGTATCCTTGTTAAGTTGTTGGCAAGGCATTGTTGCTGGGCACGAATGCGTGACTTGCTATACCATGCGTTAAGGCACTGACAAATTTAATCAACGAAGAAAGAGAAAAATTATAGCAAATTATAGCATCTATCGATTAGGCCACTATTTAGTTAATGCACACATGAGCTTAAAATATTAGTTCAGTTTTTATATGTCTCCGATTCATCAGTGACAGACTGAGCGCATGCAGAAAACAAAATGTGGGCGTCAACGTTATAACACTCACCCGCAAACCAACTGTACGAATCACTCGGTATGGTTGCGCGTCTCATGTGGTACTAAGGGTGGCACCAGCGATTGCCCGAAACAGGGGCCGCATGCCCCCGGCGGAGATCGAGCTGAACTCATTTTGCAAGTGAGGTGGCAAACGCTGTCTAAAACTAAATGATTCGAATTTTTCTCTCCAAATTTCAAGGATTGACATGACATTTTGAGGAGGGAGAATAGAAATGTGGAGCGAGGTAAATGAGGGGATAAATATATAATAGGGAGTTGCTAATGTCGGCACCTGCTCTTACTACGCGGTAAGGTCATAGCCTAGGCAGCCGTCTTACTACTACAGACCATACTCAGATAGCAACATAATATTTAGGCGACATTATTCTGAATTCCCCAGCATAGTTTCTGGATATTCGAATATACGTATATAATAGCACATCATGTAATGAAATGCCGCCTTTAGGAAATTGGGGGACGCTGTAAGACTTATACACATGCCAATGGAAAACTTGCTATGCGTATAGGCGTACCGTAACAGCAGCTGTCTGACAGCAACATGATTACCCTGCGTTATAAGTACAAGTACAAGTACAAAAAGCTCGTCAAACGTATTCATACCGTTAATCTCATCACGATAGTCAACTTACATCGCCTTCTTACGAAACCTGCTGAGTATATATCATATAAGCCTCGTCGTACAACTTTCCCGTGCAGGTGTAATAGGTAGATTACCTACATACCCCGCACAGATGTAATAGGTAAATTACCTACCTACCCCCGCACCGGTGTAATAGGTAGATTACCTACCTACCCCTACACAGGTGTAATAGGTAGATTGCCTACCTCTCCAGCGTCTGCCGATACACATGGCAGATCCCTCGCGTATAGTCCTCGCTCCGGTACGAAACAATCTAAGAAAAAAATCTACGGCAAAATACGCGATATCTACAAAAATAAATAAACAAATTCTCGAATATATCACCTATATAAACTCGTGTCTAATTTGGTTTGCAACGAAGCAATCAGTAAACGAAGGATTCGCGCAGAGGTGACGGCGCGCGAAACCTTTACAGCCTTTCGAGTCCTTATGACAGTAACGTGAAACAACTATACAGCGAAATCTAGACCACGGGCATACGCGCCTGAACCACTTTCTCAAGCGTGGGCACAAAAAGCACGCGCAACGCGATATTCGATCCGCTAACCCCCTGCGCTTTCCTGACCGAAACCCCCTGCCTACGGCCTAACCATCTACGCCTAGCGCCGACCTGCCGACTCTGTACAACTCCTGAGGAAGAGGCTCGCTGTAATACTATCCTATATCAATGCAGCCCTGCGTCCACCGAGCAACTGACTTGCTGGTCACTAGTGCCACCTGGTGTGCGCTCACTGTCATGAGCAGAGCGACGCGAGTCTGTGTAAAATGACGACAAGACACGTGACCGCGAGCAGCGACATGGAGAGCCGATGCGACGCCGACGCGTTCGCGTTTACGACGACGGACGTGCGCACCCTGGCGGTGACGAGCGGCGACAGCGTGAGGTCTGAGAGCAGCGTGGGACTTCCTGATCGAATCATCAGCTCCATCTTATGCGCCTCCGTGTGGCAAGCCTCGATCTGGAAACCATCGTCAGTGCGATTAGATTAAGCTAGATTAGATTAAGTTAGAATAGAGTTAATTTAAACGTGGCACGCGGATGAACCGCACGGATCTAATTAAATTAGATTGAATAGGAGAGTACTATAGCTACTGCCAATAACACATCAATGGTAAACGTAATTATGAAATTCGAAGTAAACCGTTGTCAACCATACCGAACTCGTCACCAGTTTACTAATAACTATAGGCCTTTTAACCCAGTTACTCGGTAAATCTTTTCGAATTTCGCGCAAAATTCTATTGCGTTACAGTCGCCTGACCTCGCAAGACCGCGAATAACTCGACTATCAACACGATTGTTGAGCAAAACGCGATAGACAAGATGATAGCTAACTGCACGGCTAGAGCTCGATCATTTACCTGTACACGTGTCGCTTACGAGATTACAGGATGACGCAGTGATAATAACGTAGGTGTAGCTCGCCAGTCTGATGCAAGATTAGAGGAAACACAGTGGTAGACACCTGTACAGGTGTCTCTTGCTCGACAATATTAGACATTAACTTACCTGTATAGGCTTCTGCTGCGCGATTAGCTGAGAAACAGTGGCAATTACATACTTGCGCAGGTGTGTGTTGCTTAATTAGAGCAGAACCGATGAGAAATAGAGAAAGAGCTTTAACATACCTGTATAGGTGTCGGTTTCTCGGTGACGGGGGTGACGAGAATCACCATCTCGGACTCGATGCTCAGGTAGCCGAACACGTCGCACTCCGGCACGGTGATGTGCGTGCGCAGCTTCTCGGCGATGAAGCGCACCGACAAGGGAGCGCCACCGGTGCTGCGCGCCGCGTGCTCGGCCTGAGAGCGGCTGATGATGATGCGAACCTCTCCGCCTGTAACGTAAGAAAGAGAAGTCACGTGTGATCAGCTAGTCACGTTGCTGCTGTAGAAGCCATGTCTACTATGTCAGCTTAACCCAGCTTATGTAACTACCAAGGTAGCCTACAGCTGTAGTTGCTGCTGTAGGAGCCATGTCTGTTATCCTGCTCACAGAATTAAGCTGTAGTTCCTCCTGTAGCGACCATACATACTAGCTGTGAGTTAGCAACCACAGCGCTGTAGGAACCTCACTGACTCGCCTGCTTACGTAGTAACGCTTGCTATCAGCTGCTAGCTGTAAGCTAGCAACCACAGCGCTGTAGGAACCACGCTGACTAGCCTGCTTACGTAGTAACGCTTGCTATCAGCTGCTAGCTGTAAGCTAGCAACCACAGCGCTGTAGGAACCACGCTGACTAGCCTGCTTACGTAGTAACGCTTGCTATCAGCTGCTAGCTGTAAGCTAGCAACCACAGCGCTGTAGGAACCACGCTGACTAGCCTGCTTACGTAGTAACGCTTGCTATCAGCTGCTAGCTGTAAGCTAGCAACCACAGCGCTGTAGGAACCACGCTGACTAGCCTGCTTACGTAGTAACGCTTGCTAT